TCATTTCCATCATATTTGCAGCTAAATTGCTGCCATATTTGCTGTCAAATTGCAGCTTCATTTGCTGTCAATTTTCAGCCTCATCGCTGCCATGGCAGTTTCATTTCATCAGTTTGCAGGTTTGAATGTCACATTTCTAATAATATTTCCAACATGAGAAAATTCTTGGACATAGCTTAGTGTTGTATTCACCCAAAGGCAAGCGAATGGCCATCAATGGAAGAAGTGGAAGTGACACTAGCTGTTGCATTGGAGCTGGAGGAGAAAGCTGATTCTGTTATGGAGGCTGTTAATCATAACGGTGGCTTGGTGTATGAAGTGGTACTATGTTGTCTATCTATTGGTGAAGATGATCAAGTCCCATGCCAAGAGACAGAGCTAGACAGTGGCTCCCAATGGAATAACTTCTCAGTCGAAAATGCACCATTTCTCTAACAAACATTGACAAGGATATTATGTCAAATGTCAGTAATATTAGTAAATCAGTAGAAAAGGCATCCTTTTTTTTTTCTTGACATGACAAAGCCATTTTTTCCATTAGTATGAATTCAAGTTGTTATATGTTGGGGAGATAAACGACTTAGTTGCTCCATTACATGTTTTGACATCACATTGAAATCAAAAGATTAGTTTAGTAATTTCATGGGTTTTCACATATATAAACCATTATTTCTTTCTATATTTTTTTCGATGTGGGATCTTTAGTTTACTCACACTCATTAGGAAACATACTTCAACACTCCCAAGGCCCGTGAGCGTTCAACCATTTTTTATTTTTTTATTTTTATTTTTTGATATACATACATACATACATGACATGATCTATTCATGAGTATACTCGTCGTGGGTTTACATAATATTTCTTGTGAGTGATCCATTACATGTTTCGACACCATACTAAAATAAAAAAATTAACCTATTAATTTCATGAATCTTCACATATATAAGTCACTATTTTTTTTTATATTTTTTTGACGTGGGGTCTTTAGTTTCCTTAGGAAACATACTTCAACATTATAAAAAAAAAAGAAGCCATTTTCGCTTAATTTATTAATTTCCAGTAGGATTAATTCAAGTTGTTATAATGTTGACAGACAAGGCAACTTAATATCGTGAACATTAATGACTCTTAACCTCATCAACAAGGTAATCGACTGAAAAATGCAGTCATGTCGGTTGGTAAACACAAATGAATTATGAAAGGTGTCGGTGGTAAACGCAAATGAATTATAAAGGGTAGCATTTCTGTAGCTTTCATCCCAAACAAAAGAAATCAACATGAAAAGCAAGATAGACTTCGTAGGATGCACTGAAATTTCATCACATAATTTTCCTGACCCTCTAGAATGAACGCGCAAGACGTTACTTATGGGCATGCGCAGGAACGACTTGACAAATTGCCATTTCCTTGACTTAAGCAAAGTAGCAGTGACCAACACGAAAACTATCTACTTAGGAAAAGCACTTAAAAACAAAATTTAGTGATTTCAGGATAATTTTTGACTTTCAAATTGTTAACACGGAAAAACAGAAATCAAAGAAAATAAAATCATGTACAATAGGAACAATAAAATGGTTTATTTTGATATTATATCATCACAATTAACATTATTATACATAAACTCATATTTTTATATATTTAATTTTTAAATACTGTATTTTTGCTCTTAGGTATATTTCTACATAAAATTTTCTATATTACACATAATTATTATTTTATTCTACCTACATTTTACACAATTTAAATAAAAAATTTGAATTAAAAAAATTTTGAAAAAGTAAAAAGATCCAAGCCGTTGGATTCTAAATTCAATGACTTGGTGAGAACGTAGCATGTCGCCTGCCACATGGCTGAAATGTGCGTCAACACTTGTTAGGCCAGTCAACATTTTTTACTAGAATGGGTCAAAACGACGTAGTTTTGGTACATTTTAGCCGAAAGAGGTTTAACAGCGGTGTAGTTTTGGCTCCTTTTGAGCCTAATATAATTTAAATGGGCTGTTTTCATACAGAAAACAAAGCTTGGATTTTAAAGACGTTGCAATAGACAAAAGGAAAATAATTTAGAAATTATATTTTTATATTATATTTTTATATAATTTATATGTTATTTAAATGATTAATTTTTTTATTTATTTAAGATCAATAATACTAAATATATATTTATTTAATTTTATATACAAATTATATAAAAATATAATTTCCATATCACTACTCTAGACAAAAAGATAAAAAACAAAAAAAAACTAAAGCTTTCTCTTCTCTGACAAGAACAACAAACTGAGCGTCTCTAAGGTCACAAATCTTGCAGCGTGGAGTGCAGGACACTACAAAACATTGATAGGGTTCCAATGGATTGGTCCGGGGTAAGTCCGGATTGGGACCGGCGAAGTTGGCCGGGTCGCCTTTGTAACAAGGAAAATCCATGTGTTCACATGGAGCTGGATCATTTTGTCAACAAAATACGTACATTAAAAAAAAATCCCATGTCAGTTTTCACAACTTTTGACTGCAAGGGCACCTTCTAAGAAGCTGGCAATGATATACGAGCAGGTGGACAAGCGTCATTAAAGGGTTGGTTTTGGTTGCCAATTTTCTGTTCTTCACAGCCAGCAAAGTCAAAAAAAAAAAAAAAAAAAAGGAGAAAAAAAGACAATTTAATTTGTAACTTGAATTTTGACCGCACAGCCTCACAGCCTTCCATCTGCTTCACGTAAATTTTTTCCTTACCGTCTAGCATGAATGCAAGATTTGGAAAGTCGATAGGCAGGTTATCTCCAAGATACTGCCATTTTCTGAGCTAGCGTTGGGGAGACATTTGGGTTGCGAGGATTCAGAGGTATGCTTATCATGGGTTTATAATATATGCACTCTCACGTGCTAAGTTTAGCTCAAGAGCTAAATATCACTGGCTTTGCTTTGATATTATTTGCTAAGGAGACATCTAGCCTAGCAAAGAGAAATTTGGTGACTCGTCACATTTTTTGATATCATCTTAATTAAAAGACTAATCCACTAAATTTATAAATCTTGATATATTTAAACTATTTTATATTTTCATTTTTTTTTTACTACAATTCACAAGGTACTGCTTATTTCAACATAAAAGAGAAGGCAAATGACCGGGTCCGTCTCGGAAAATTACCTTAATGTATATGGAAGTCGTTGCTGATTGAAAAACCATGTATGTGGAAGCAGCCAGGAAAAGCACTCAAAACACACAAGTTTTGGTCGGTGGGGCTTGGAAGTAGCTAGGAAAACCACATAAATTATTAAAATCAGCAGCAGCTTCAGTTAAAAAATATATATTATAACCTGCGGAACAAAACCTTTATCCTCCACCAATCAGAGATCCTCCATAGCCTTACTCCGGAAATGTCAAACCCTTTCTTAGGAAATGGTGGGAACTCTCGCCAGAGTTTCTCTGAAATTTTTAAGAAAGTAAGGGGAAGAAAAGCAAAATCAACTAAGACACTAGCTGCAGCACTTGCAGGACTTCCAGGAGAACTCTGCCACCAATTTTCACTAGCTGAGCTCAAAGCAGCTACTAAGAACTTTGCTAACAGTTTGATGATCGGTACAGGTGGTTTTGGCTGTGTATACAAAGGGCTTATTGATGGCAGGATTGTTGCTTTCAAATGCCGCACTCACTCTGAGTCAGTAGATTATGAGTTCCAAACTGAGTTGCGGGTTCGGCAGTCGATGACAATAAAAGGCGGAGATCAGTTCCGGACTGAGATACAGTTGCTCTGCCAGCTAAGCCACCAGAATCTTGTCTCCCTTATCGGGTTTTGCCAAGAGAAAGATGATAGGATCATTGTGTATGAATATCTGACCCATGGATCATTGCGTGATCATCTTAATCCAAGTGCTCATGACCCACTCCCATGGAAGCGGAGGCTAGAGATATGCATTGGAGTAGCACGTGGATTACATTACCTTCATACAAGCGCCAAGTATGCAATAATTCACCGCGATGTCAAGAGTGCCAATATTCTTCTGGACAAGAATTGGGCTGCAAAGCTTGCTGATTTCGGCTTAGCCAAGATTGGTCCCCGTAGCATCTCAAAGCCGAAGGCTTTGACACAAACAGAATCAGAGATTGCAGGTACGTATGGCTATATGGCTCCAGAGTATCGCATCAATGGTGAACTCACAGAAAAATGTGATGTGTTTTCGCTAGGTGTTGTTTTGTTTGAAGTATTGTGTGGTAGATTGGCACATCAGTTTATAAATTTCACCGAGAATCTAGTTCCTTTGTGCTTTGGAAGGATAGGAGCGGCTAGTATTCATGATATTATTGATCCATATCTGAAAGGAAAGATAGCACCAGCGTGTTTGACAGAATTTGTGGGGATCGCTTTCAGTTGTCTTCATGCTAAGGCAAGTGAACGACCTTCGGCAGGAGAAGTAGAGGTGATGCTAGAACTTGCCTTGGAGAAGCAGGACAAAACCGACTCGATTATGCAGTGTGTCAATCCTCGTGCTGTCTATGCTTACGAGGAAATAACGTTTCATGAATTGGTTCCGGATTACGATAGATACTTTTCTGGGAGACCGAATGTGACAGACTCGTACGAGCCATGCAGCAGTTCTAATGCTTACTCTGTCAACGACCTAGTTTATTGTGACTCTTCGGTTGGGGAATGCTCGTTCAGTTCGTTTGAAGGACGATAATGTTAGAAGATATTGACTTTTTTATTCAAATCAAATTAAGGTTAATTTGTTGATGAAGAAACGGAAGCAATCAAAGAAGAAACAAGATTCTATTAAAAAATTAAAAGGGTTTATATATATAAATATATATATTTTTCCCTGAAGCCATGTGTTAAAAGTGAGATCATTAGAGTAAAGTTTGAGTGACACTGAAATTGCCTGGGTATGCCCAGGAATAAAGTGTAAATATGCTTTATTGTTCAATTAAAAAACTTTCTAAAAAAATAAAATAAAAGGTGAGATCATTATCTCGGCTAAAAGGAAAGATGGGGCACTGCGCATTGTCTTCTACTGATTGGGAGTGAAATCCAGCAATGTGTGAGCTTTGCAGAAATAAAGATAAGAGTTATTTAAGAAACAGAGGGTTACAGGGGAACATCAATAGTTAGGCCCCGTTTGGTATAGCGGTTTTGGGATAGCGGTTAGCGGTTTTACCTAAACCGCTAAATATAGGTGTTTGGTAAATTTATATATTTTAAAACCGCTACAACTAAAATGTTTGGTAAAATTTTTATTTAGCGGTTTGAAACTAGCGGATAGCGGTTAGGGTCCAAATCGCTAGCAGATTGAAAAAGTTAGTTTATGTAGCTTTTTGTACAAAACCGCTAGTGGATTAGAATTTTTTAATTTTATTGACAAATTTATCCATTTTAATTTTTTAATTTGTGGTCACATTTTTAATTAATAATTATCTAATAAATTTCAGTTTTGTTTTTTTCCCTTTAATAACATTAAGTGAT